ACAATACTGTACCCACCAACGACAGCAGTACTCTGTAAGTAAAGGGAGGCAGAGAGAACAAAGCAGCAAGCCCAGCCCAGCAACAAGCAGCCAGGCAGGGGATACTCTGTGAGCTGTGTTTCAAAGGACAGGAAAATAGTTTTGTCGACCAAAAAAAAAAAAAAAAAAAACTGAGAAGAAAGGCGAGGCAAAGGGAATAGCACAGATGAAAGCATGGTGATTTCCAACACGGCGTGTGCAGGGAGTTCTAGGGAGTCTGGAGTAAACAGAGCGGCGGGCAACGACGCTGGCCAGGCAGGGTCACAGGCTGGGGTCTCCAGAGGGAAGTGAGAGAGTCTGGAGTAGAAGGTGTGTACTAGGGAACAGCACCTGCGAGAGGACAAGGGAAGTTGCTTGGTTGGGCAGAGGAGCAAGTCACATTGCGGGCACGCCGCCCAGAAAGCCAAGTGTCTGTGCTTCTATAATGACATTCCTGAAACCGGGTAATTTATAAAAAGCAGAAAATTATTTCTCACCGTTCTGGAGACTGGTAAATCCAAACCAAGGTGCCAGCTAGTGAGGACCTGGTCCCTCTGCTTCCGAGGCAGCATCTTGTGACTGCATCCTCTCGGGGTGGCGGGGAAAAGAACACTGCACCTCGACAGGGCGAAAGGTGAAAGAGGAGGAAAGCCACGTGCTGCATGAAGCCTGTTTTATAAGGGGTCTTAATCCCATCCACATGGGGGGAGCCTCATGGCCTGATCACCTCTTAAAGGCCCCGCTCCTTAATACTCTCACGCCAGCTATGAAGTTTCAACGTGTGGCTTTTGGAATGGACACATTCACACCATAGCACCAACCCAGCAGGGAGACTCAGAATCAGGGAAGACCATCGGGGCTGTCCCATATCGGGGGGAAAGAACACTGTGCCGTGTCAAGGTGCGGTGTTCTTTCCCCTCCTCCTCCTGAGAGGATGCAGGTGAAAATGCTCGGTCTTTATCCCGCCTCAATCACCAGGTGTGGGCTATCCAGGAAAAGGGATTGCCTGGGGGAGGACGCTCTCTGTGGCTCAGGAAAACCCTACGGGAGCTGACAGCTGAAGGCTGTTTCTGATCACACTCCTCACAGCTGGGGAGCATGTCTGTCCTTGAAGGGAGAGCCATCCTTGAAGGTCACCTCCATGTGTCCACAGACATGTGTGAGCAATGTCACCAAGGGTCTCCTATGGCTACCTAGGTAGCTTGGATTTTATGCAGTAGGCAATAAAGAGCCCGTGAAGTCTCAGGCATGGAAATGACACCCCCAGCTTGGTGTTAGGTGGCATTCTGAACACTGGATGTGACAGGGATGAAGGGTGAAGTCGGGGAGACCAGTCAGGAGACTGCCGGCTTTACCGAAGTGAGGGGACCGACCTCCACAGGCAGTAACAGAAGCGTAAAGGCATGGAAGGATCAGAGGGGAATTTAGGAGGTAAAACTTGCAGGGAGGCAAGCCAAGACTGTGCTTTCGGAAGGTAAATCAAAGCATCAAACATTCAAAAGCAGAAACTCTCAGCATCTAGCCTGCCCCTTACCAGCAGCAGGCTCCTGATGAGACGTTCCGTGTTCACCAGTTTTCCTGGCATCTAGGTCGATGTTTCAGACGTAGTAAAGGCCTGATAAATACCTGTTGAATGAACAGGTGGATGAGTAAGAGGACTGAGGCCACAGTCAACGGACGCAAGACATGGCTGCGACTTCCTGACTACAAGCCTGCGGAAGCCACATCAAATTGTAGTCTCTGCACTCACGCCAACACCCAGGGTGAAATGCAGAGTGGGTGAAAGGGCTGCCAGGGTAGCGCAACCTAGCTTTGCTTCGACAGCAGCTGAGGAGTGAATGCACATCCGCCCTCTCGTGCCTCGGAGCCCATGGAGGAAAACCACCTGCCATTTAAAATGGGGCCCAGGTCTGTTTCGTCCATTCCAAGGCCACAGGACACACTTCTTGGCCTGCAATTCCTCCACCATCAGGGCTGCCGCCAACTTAGCTAGGGGCCAAAAACATCCTCTTAGCCTAAGAATACCCCCCCTCCTCTCTCTCTCTCTCTCTCTCTCTCTCACACACACACACACACACACACACACACACTCCAGATCTCAGCTCTTAAGACAATGACTAGAAATGCATATTTTGAGTACCCCCAGCAGCGGTAGGTAAGATGCCATTGGACTGTGA